AAAATAGCTCCAACGCTATTACAAATCCAGAAGTTTAAAGAAATATATTTGAGGTTTGTCCGCCGCGTGGCTATTGAAATCGCGTGAAAGTTGTTTGAAATCGGCCGAACCATAGGTGTTTCCATTCAGTTCTGCCTCTATTGTATTTTTTCTTGAATTCTATTCTCCTTTAAAATTACTAAAATGTATGAGAATTTAACGAACAACGAACAGGCGATCTTTTACTGTATAAAAACAATAGCCTCCATTTGGCGCAAATGTTATACGGACATTTGTCCGCGGACATCTGCTCTTATCTGTTCCGAGATGAGAACAGTTTTCCAAAAGCGAAGCTCGAGGAATCTGTGAGCCTTGGGGAACAGATAATGTCCAAGGACAACATTTTCACATCAAATGGGGCTATTGTGTTTCATATCCTTCAAATATTTTTTGCAACTCGCGAGGAAAACGTTAACGAACAACTCACTGTTTGCTGGGTGAAATGTTTACTTTTCAGTCTCATTTGTAGGATTTTATGAACAAACAAACTTCTTTAACAATACCTTAACGCTTTTTCGTCTTGAATTAAATTTTGAACGAAGACTTTTATCGGAGTGGACGTAAGGTTTGAAAATTGGGGAATTTCACTTGGGGGATTATCCACGGATATTCCCCAGTTTTAGCTAGGAAAATATTCGGTCACGTAACGTATTAAAAACCAATCACGCACATGCAAAATTTCTGATGGATTATAATTAATGTTATCTAATAAAGACTTTTCTCGAGCCAAAACTCCACAGCAGCAGTCGAACAGAACTAGCTCTGTTGAGCATGCCGGAACTTGCAATTCGTAAAGTGAGCGTATCAGCACACCAAGCGCATCGAATGCGCTCATGAGGTAAACAAGGCTTTTTCGCTTGTTCTGGGGGTTGTGTGTATCTACCTTATCTTTGTCGAAAGCAATTTAATGATAAAAGGGCGAAAGTCAAAGGCAGCAAAAAATAACCGGTGAGAAGAGCTCGGGAAGTTTTGGTAATTTTATTGAAAAAAGTTACGAGAAAAAAGAACCCGAACCCATAAATGGGATTTTTTTTCCGGACTTTTTGCAGCCCTCTTTTGTAACCGGCAACAGGATATTCCGATGCATTTACAAAGTAATGACGTGAACGGGTCAAAATGATCGAAATTAAGCCGTTGTTAATGGGTAACAGGCAAATGCTAGTGTTGTATTCTGCTGTTGTCGCTGCTTTAAGTCAATTTTTAAATCATTTGTTTAATTTGTTGTTCTTTATAGTTGATCGTCTGTTTTTGCTGCATTTTGAGTTTTTGACCTTTTGTGCAATGTTTCAGATATTACCACATGTTCATTCACTCACCTGAATTGTCGCTGTGGCTATAGGGGTAAAGGTGTCGCATCCTGCTCCCTGAATCTAATGATCAACAAAGAACCGCATCAATAGTCAATTACTTTATGCTTTAGAATTAATTGTAACTTAGTGGGCCGAGTTGTTCGCAACCCGGTGATCAGAGCAACTTGCAACTGTTTATCGAAAGATATCCGGGATTTATTGGATTAGCTTCACTTCATCCTGTAACTGATCTAGAAAACTGGCGCTAACCTCTCCTCCAATAAGTAGCAAAACTTAAACTGATCACCACTGGCGTTTTCCCGCGTTTAAAAACTCGAGCCACTCTCTCAACCAATCAAATTTAAATCTCAGTTTGGTCACCCGCATTTTCCCGCGCTTCAGGAGGTTAACTGGATTTCACTTTGAGTTCTCATTGGCCCATTTCGATATTCATTTGATCGATATTATCAAATAACTGTTTCAGTCTCTGATCTTGATGATCTCTTGATGCTGATTGCATTGAAGGCTTTTATGCATTGCGTTCGCAAACTTTAACGAGCTTTCATTTTTGTAGAATGCGGCTGTTTGCCTCTCGCTAGGGAGTAAACGAGCGCCGTCTCTCATTAATCAAACAACCTACACTACCGACCTGTACTGCAATCAAAACTCGTCCTCAGACCTTATAAGTTTCTTGGATTTCAAAATTACGAAAACCGAAAGAACCTTGGGGACGAGGCAACTTGTAAAGCTTTTTCGTCAAACAGTTACCTCCAATATCGTCCTTTCCACGTCCAAGTCGTTCAAGCTGGTATCAAATATGGTCGGCGAGCTTTTTACATCAACAATCCATGTTTACCTGAGAGATCTTTACTTGTAATAATCGTCTAACAGATTTAATGAGTCGAGATTGCGTTGCTTCCTTAAGAATCGTTCAAAGAGTCAACTAATACTTCGAGTTTTTTCCATCCTCGTTTTTTCCTGGAAATTTTGAATCTGAATCCCAATAAACTGAAGCGATTAGTTAGATAATTCATTTCAGTACGATATTTACATCTAAGTCTTTGAAAATTTTGTTATAAATTATTTAAGATAAGCAAAGATAGTTTATTCTCCTCTCACTGAAGATGACTTCAAGGTGTGATTAATAAAAACTGATAAAATATGTCAAATTGCAATATCATGGTCTCTCGAAAAAAGAAATTACGAAAAAGTTTGTACAGAAGTATTCAAATTTTGCATACTACAGGACGTTTCTATCAAACAGACGCTTTCAATCTAAGTTATTGACGTAAACAAAGAGAAATGACATGATGTGGTTATTGTTATAGTTTACTAATCACATGCTTTTATCACTGTGACATTCAATGATATCAATGATAATTTAAACCACAAGAATATCTTATCTTTTACATGAATTAGGCTCGTTTCGTCAGCCTTATCCGCGATATGATGACAGTTTCCATGAACCGTAAAACAAGATTCTCTTGAGCTATGATATGATTTTCCCCAGAAACAAACCTTAATGGAACCCATAAAATATTTACCTCAGTTGCTTTGCAGACCATTCAATGATCTTTGTCAAATAAATTTGTATCTCCCCAGTAAACATACAGCACTGCATAATTGATAATCCGTAGGTAAGCTATCACGAATTTCGAAAAAAAATTCTTTGCAAATTGTAAAAAGTTCTTAAAATTATCCTCCCCCCCATCTGACCGTTCGCCTGACTTTCCAAAACATGTTTTCAAGTAGTGGTATTCTACAAGCTTGTAAATTAAGCTCAGACGAAAAACCCTTAGCGAAAAATTGTAGAATTAAGAACTCAAGCAGTTGATAGCAACTGAAAAGGACACAGTTCTTCATTACATTTGAGAATAATCCCACGTTATATAACTCTCAAATTTAGAGAATATTTATCAAGGAGGCAATTTAGATTTAAGTATCTTTCCATTTGTGACTGACAAAACAGAAAATAAACACTCAATTATTTACGCGCGTCTTATGGTCGATTTTACACCAACAAAAAAAGCTTCTGCCAGAAATCCCTCGGGGAAAGCCGAAGGTAACCGTCTCCCTCTCCAGCCCAAAATCCATAATCTTTTACCACCCGTGCAGTTTTTGGCAAAAATAATCTACAGTTTCTCGATCCATTTACTTTCTTCTGCTCTCTTTTTCATTCTAATTGAGAGTAATTAGATATACTACTAAGATGTTTTAAATGCGCTGGTTTTATCAATTACCACCGTATGTCGATATCACCAAAATCCATTACACCAGCTGTCTACGACAATTTTCTTGAAAATTTCAACTATTTTAAAATACAACATTTTCTTTGCTGTGCCGCCTAATCTTCGCTTCTTGATATCACACCTCGATTTCAAGTTGGTATCTGATACATTCGAAAAAAGGATGCCAAGACATTTAGATCGTGGATACAAAAATTTCCCAACACGGCACATAAACGCATTTTTCTCGGTGTTGTCTTCGCAAAAATCCTCTAGTCGCTTACGAAGGCTAATAGCGTGACCCAGACCTTTATATAAAGAACATAAACCACCGTTCATTAGATTTAACCTTACCTGTCACATCGCCCGACGCCTGAGTGTTCACTAATGAAGCATACATGACGTCTTCCTCTTTAACTCGCTTACACGAAAATCCAAATCGAACTAAAGACTTTCAAAACTGATCATTGTTTCATCAACTCAAGGAGATGAGTTTGTTTCTGAATCACGAGCGTCGTTTTCATGCTATGTCGCACTTTCCCACGCCGACTGCGTTCATCGCTCTCCATCCGACAACAGCGCATGATACCTTATTTGATATGCTTAAGCGACCGCACGGTTTTATTACTAATGGAGATCCGAGTTCATTGCTTACACTTTTGTGACGATGCACCCATTCATATGAAGGCGCTGTTATTGGCAAAAATAGAGTTCATAAATACTTCTTAATTATTTATGTTTCTAAGGGTCATTATTCCCAACGTTCCAACAGGTGCCGGAAGTTGAAGCACCGGATTCACTTCCGGCGATACCTCCTCCTCCTGGAAAATTATGGGATTGCCTAATCGTTCCAGTGACATTAGTCGTGTCTACAATACCAAATAGGCAAATAAAAAACTGTTTTATCATTTTCATGTCGAATCTACATTTTGAAGCACGAAAAGAAGCCAAGCTAGGTACTAAACCGAAATTTCTTGTGGTTCTGAGGTTTTATTTCCATCGGCATAAATACACATTTTTTTTTTTTTTTGCATAAATTTGAGGGTCACATGTACCGCAAATGCATTGCAAACGAAGAGATCAGCGTCCACTCGTGTGAAAATATGATAAAAGTATTACGGTTAAGGGTTTCTTGGTTTTTAAAGTTCTACTGATCAGTTCGTTATGTCAAAACGGCATGGAATAAGTCTGTCGGACAGATGATTTACTCAATAATCGATTGTTTGTAGTGGAAAGGATTTAGTTGCGGATATCCCTCCAAACCTGGCGGTTTTCTGATGATCGCAGGGTCCCGGCAGCAAATTTTGATCGGGAGGAGGGGGTGGGGGGTTACAGACGACCGCGTTAGCTTCTGCCAACAAGGCAAGGGAATTGGGGCATGTTTAGCAGGACAAGTTTGTTAAAAAAAAGTTGGAGGGGAGGGAGCTAAATCACTTTCGACACTCAATTAAAAAACCGCTCTATTCAACTCTAAACCAAAGAAGGTAGACTTACTACAAACGAGTCAGTGAGTCACGAGGAGAGAGCCCAGACCTATGGACCCAAACGATCAGGGAACTCGAGAAAGTTTACAAAGAAAGGAAAGAGAACATTTTCCAAATAATAACACTAGAATAGACCAGCACTCCGTTTTCACAAATCGGAATACATCAGGTACTGTTTTAACGAATGCGGAACAGGCAGTTCTGGGATTCGTTGCATTCTACAACTGTTAATCCTCTTTCTTATAACAAGCCGGCAAAAATGTTGCAGTGACCGCGGTGAACTGGTCAGACGCTCCAGTTTGCGCCATTTCAAGTTAGTGCGCTTTGCGCGAGAGTTTTCGCGGCAAATCTCCCGCGAGTGCGGTCTATTTCCCTCGAATTCTAACAACAGCTTATACAAGTCTGGATTAAGAACTCTCATGGCGCTAGGGTCTTTAAAAGCTATGCAAGTTCCTTGGTGGAGCTGATCAACGCTTGCTCCAAGCTTGAGAAAAAGTTTAATGCAATCCAACTGTACTTGAAGAGACTTCTGATTATGGCCATACCCTAACCTAGTTACAGCTATGCTTAACGCTGTATTCTTCCCTCGATCCACAAAATTGGGATCAGCGCCGAAGTCCAACAGGATCTTACCACAATCATGGGACGAATTCTGCGCAGCAAGAATTAATGGTGTGGTGTATGTCGCTCTGTTCACATCTGCGCCACGCTCCGCCAAGATTTTAACGCAATCGACGTAGTCACCTTCAACGGAAACCATCAGTGGTGTCTTGGGCAGCATGTCTACATCTTCATATATGTGGTTAGGATTTGCCCCGCAGTCCAAAAGCAGTTTAGTGCAATCCGCATGTCCTTGACAGGCTAAACAAATTGGAGTCATGTTTCCAGTCTGTGTTGGTGCGTCAACATTAACACCTGCTGATAAAAGCAGCTCCATGCACTTATAGTGACCTTCCTGACTACTAAGGTGCAGAGGAGTGATTTTCTCTATATAAGTTTCTGCGCATGCACTCACCCCCGCATTTAAAAGAATCTCAATGCACTCAGGGTGCCCGCGTTCTGCAGCAGCGTGAAGCGGTGTTGCTCCATCAACAACTTTACTTTCAGGGTCTGCCCCTAGAAGAAAAGCAATTAACTGTTAGAAAATACTCTGCTACCCTTTTAGAATGCTGAAACGAAACCAGACTCCAAACAGCTCCATTATTATTTCATGCCAAGTCACACCAAAAACTTGTGTAGACGAAATCGAGGGCAAAAAAAACTACTCTCAGTAAAAAGCTATGAGAAGTTTTGTCCTCCTCTAACCCAACATCTAGGGAAAAAATTTGTTGGTTTTTCTGAAACTGTATATGGGAATAGCTTATTAAGACTCTGTCTCTAAACAACAGGGGTAGTTTTCTAAAGTTGAGTTGGTTCAAATTCAAAATCAAACTCGTAAAAAGTTTGGAACAGGCTGAACCAGGCCTAAAAAATGTAATTATATTGAAACATCATGTTGAGCCTCTAAAAGTTCCCAACTGATATCAGTTCAATTGCTAGATGATAATACCAATCCCCACCAGGTGGTTTCTCAGATCAATATCAGTATCTGGGCAACTGCCCACCTACCCCTCCCCTAACCCAACATTAACCTTGACTTGTCATCAATTGACTGTTGTTGGGTTAGGGGAGGGGTAGGTGGGCAGTTGCTCAGATACTAATATTGATCCAGTTTCTCCATACATGGCTCCTCCCATAATTTTTCTTGGAGCCCAACAAAACACCCACAGCGTACAGTAACTCTGAAAATTCCTCTCAAACCTTTAAACCCCAGCATTTACATGTAACTTCTCCTTACAGTTCCAGTTTATCTTGCAAGGAGATTAATTAACAAGGAAATGTAAGGGAGTTAGGAGGGAGAATTACTCACTGGATCTTGGGGTTAAAGGGTTAAAAATAGCCCACAACCACAATACTCTGAAAATAAACAGAATGCCTACCAGCAGTTAACAGCATGTTGATACAATCTGTTAAGCCTTCCTGGGAAGCAATAAACAATGGCGATGCCTTATCTACAGTCAATAAACTGATATCTGCCCCCTCTTTTAGTAGTAGCTTTAAGCAAGCCTTATGTCCATATTGAGCAGCGGTGAACAAAGGTGTGGCACCATCACTGTTTTGTATGTTAATGTCTGCCGCGAATGAGAGAAGTATTTTAATGAAGTCTTCACGACCAGCAAATGCTGCTTCATGTAAAGCACTCCATCCTCCAACATCCTGACTGTTTACATCTAAACTGCATTCTAAGAAAATCTGAGAAGAACCAAAATGAGAAAACAAAGAGGTTACAGATTAATAAATTCATGAATACCATCCTTACCAAAAATGTTAGAGGCAGTATGGTAATTTCACTCACAATGTCAAGTATGAAAGGGTTTTAAAAAAGTAGCTTGTTCCAGGCATTCAGCAATTTAATTATGGTAATTGCACTGAGTGGAGTGCAGTTTGGACTGAAATTAAACACATTATTTCAAAATCAAACAGGCATGCAGGGCGAGTTTGATTTGAAATCAAAAGTATGATTTTAGACCAAAATTTCATGACACAAAGTTAAATTTCCATTCTATTACATCTATTTTAAAATGAAAAATGTAGCCCCTTAATAAAAAAATGTTTTTCAGTCTCTACAGATATTTTTGTGATTTTAAGTATATTGAGCTTGTTTGCAAAAAGTTGTAAAGCTTGATTGACTTCTCTCAACAAGCCTTGAAGTTTGATTGGTTGTTGTGTTAAAGTAAACTGTCACATTGGCTGGGAAGACAATGCAGTTTGGAGCCTATAACAATGTAATTTGTCTGTAAATCGCTACAGTGAGAGCCAATCAGATTGCAAGGATTTCAAAATGGATCTAATCAATCTGTAGATGGTCTGACAGTAGCAGCTGAGTGGAAAACGTGGGGGGTTTAAGTAAGGTTCCATAAACGAAATTATGCAACCCATTCCAAACATCCATCACATTTTTCACTCCTTCCCTACTTTCATGCCATTTACTATTAGTGCCTCTATTTATTTACTGAACCTCTGGAACAAGCTAGTAATAGACCATTGATCTTTGTTTGTGTCTCTCTTTAGAGATAGGAAGATGGCACATACGCCAGCCTAGAATGCTAGCTAGGACTCAGTGGAACAATGACATTTGCTTTAAACCTCACTGAATTTTTGTCTCATTTTGATAAACTTTTCCACAAGGGTAATCATTTGATGAGATCTCTAAGAATTCTTACAACCTATTTAGCAAACTATCTGTAACAGATTGAAGTCTGATAAACACTAGAGGTGAACTGCAATGGATCAGCATCCCATTTACAGTCTGTAGGGGAGGAGTAGCAATACCCTTAGTTGCTTCATGCTATGTAGACACAGAGAAGTTCTACCATCTTGTGGGTCCCTTAGCTTAGGTTCAGGCTTAACTTTACCATAATTACATCGTCTGTCCCCTGGTGAATCATTACCTCCTCACTCATTTGAAAGGGATTTAAATATTCTTTTTGTGTTGCTACCAGCATGTATCAAGTAAAATTTGATGTCAGTCAGACGAGTAATCATGGCATACATCAGTCACACTTGTATGATAGACAAGTTATTACACTGGCCTGAAAACATTACAACACAAACCTTTAAACACTCTAAACTCCCACTTTTCACAGAGGCCACCAACAAGTTTACTTCTTCATCATTCATGACATTCACATCAGCTCCAAATTCCATTAGTGTCTTGATGCATTCAACATGGCCACTCAATGCTGCCAAGAAGAGAGGTGTTTCACCACTGTATGCTCGAGAATCAAGAAGATCCTCATTCTTGTGTTCCAGCAGGCTTCGTAGACAACCAGAGTGTCCTGCAGCAGCCGCCTCATGAAGAGGAAACCAACCACGATTATCAGAAACATCACAAGGAGATCCTGAAATAAACACAAAAAGTACTGTTTATCTCCTTTATTGACAATAAGTTATGGAAAAGTGGCTTTCCTACAATCATGTCTCTGGTCATTTTGAATAGTGTATTTCAATGAGCGCCCTCCCCTGAATAAGCACCCACCCTTTGGAAATAATGTTGAACAAGCACCCCTCTAATACAAACACCCCCCTCCTCCTTCACTTTCTTAAATAGTAGGGAAATGGGGAAACCCTGTTTCTATTGCCACTTTATTTACAATTTTTTTAAGCATAAACTACAATAGAATTGTCAGTACAGGAGAAAAGTTTCTTTTCCATGTGCTTGCAGAGATCCTCTATGCGCCTTATCTGCTGTGCTAACTTAATAAGCTTCCCTCCTTGTTTAAGTGGCCTCCTTTCAATAAATTTTGAATAACCCCCAGGTGCCCAATCAAGGAAATACCGTAATAATAATAATAATAAAAGATTTATACCGCGCCAGTATCCTACTGTTCAAAGGCGCCTACAAGAAAAAACTTAAACATTAACACTTAAGACAGCTAATATTAATTATAAAAGGCTTTTCTAAAGAGTAAAGTTTTTAATCTACGTTTAAAAACAGACACAGACTGAGCATTTCTAATTTCACTTGGCAAAGCATTCCATAATGATGGTGCTGCTACAGAAAAGGATCTTGCGCCATATGTTTTCAAGTTATAGGATGGAGAAACCAGAAGGTGCTTGAATGATGAGCGTAGTTGACGCGATGGGGTGTAAGATGTAAGCAGATCACAAATGTACGACGGTGCCAGGTTGTTAAGTGCCTTGTAGGTTATAAGTAAAATCTTAAAAATAATACGTTGGTTAACGGGAAGCCAATGAAGATTGAAAAGAACAGGCGTAATGTGATCATGCTTTTTTGTAAGTGTGACGAGACGCGCCGCGGCATTCTGGACGTGTTGTAGCCTTTTTATAGCGTAGGCTGGTAGGACATACAAAAGGGAATTACAGTAATCCAGCTTCGAAGATACAAACATATGAACCAGCAATTCAGTAGTGGTCGCTGAAAGATATTTCCTGATATAGCTAATATTTCGCAAATGATAAAATGAAGATTTACAAATGTCAGTAATATGATCCTTAAAGCAAAAATGGCTGTCGAACATAGTGCCGATATTCCTCGCCTTTTGCACGGAAGGAATAGTCTCACCAGCAACTGAAATTTCGTGAAGGAGTGGTCTTGGAAGATGTTTAGCGGAAATTACCAATAATTCAGTTTTGTCTTTATTTAATTTAAGACGATTAACCATCATCCAATGACTGATTTCATCCACACAGCTCTCGATGCTAGAAACCGCTAGATCCCTATCACCCAGTACGGTTGGTTGGAAAGACAAGTAAAGCTGTGAGTCGTCAGCATAAAAATGATAGCTCAGGTTAAATTTCTTTACGATATCTGAAAGCGGTGAAGTATAAAGCAAATACAAAATGGGTCCCAAAACCGATCCTTGTGGCACTCCACATTTAAGGTCATGTTTCATCGAAGTACCACCATCAACAGAGACATATTGCGTGCGATTCGATAAATAAGATTGCAACCATAATAGAGGCTTCCCAGCTATCCCAAACCGTACACGTAAACGAGAGAGGAGGATGGTATGATCGACTGTATCGAAGGCAGCGGAAAGGTCTAACAACAGCAAAATTACGATTCGACGATTATCAATGGCAGAAAGAATATCATTGTGAACTCGAATAAGTGCAGTTTCAGCACTGTGATATTTCTTGTACGCCAATTTCTTGTACCGTCTATAACCTAGTTATGTGATAACTCTAATTTCACTGTAATTTATTTAAAACTAGCATCATTTTTAAAGATGAATTTATATTTTGTGTTGCTTATCATACTGCTTAAATTAATATAAAACAGAGAAGAAGTCAAAACACAACTCCAGGCTCATAAAATAGTTACCAGAAAGAAATTTAAATTTTTTTAAAAGAGGAAGACAGCAGTTATTTTCGAAGGTCCACACAGTTATGCAAAGCTTAAAACAGGGACAGGGGTATGTAGCTTCTTACCTCAAAAAGTGACACAACATTTTTAAATTATTGTTCTATGAAAATACCTCTCTTATTTTGACATAACTGAAAACTCACTGTACAACCACCTTTAATCCTTTAACTCCCAGATCAAATTTGTTATTCTCCCTACTGTCAACCATACAATTCTTATAATATTAGTTCAGAGAATTTAGTATTGGATCGACTAATTTTCCCCAAATTGATAGTTCTCTTTATTCTCATCACCCATCTGGTTGATTTTGTATTGATATTGTTAGGAGAAATTCTGTCCTGGTCACTCATGGGATTTAAAGGGTTAACATTGATTTTGATTAAAAACATACACTGAAAATTTTGAAACATTGCTTTGTCTAGGTATAGATCTACTGATATCTGTAGCTTGACTGACTGGTTGAGACATCCAGCGACCTTACAAAACGAGATGGGATTAAATTACTCATGAAAATTTAACGCCATTGAAGATATATCTTAATTTCTTGTAAGACAGTCAAGTTTTCGAGGTTTCCCAGTTCATAGTAACATTTAGACTTGTGCAAGAAAAGAAAACTGAAGGAAAAAAATAGACGAGGAGTATCAAGCGATAAGACTCCCAGCTTGTGATTGTGAGCGAAATGCAACAGCTGCCCACTTGAATATGTACAGATATGTATCATGCAATAACTCGAATGGTATAGAATGCAATGACTCACCATCGGCAATAAGACGTATTAACCTTTCTTCGTCACCTTCTCGAGCAGCTAATCCAACATTTGAGACTGTAAGATCGTCGGCCCGATCGAAAAACTGTAGTCCATTGCGAACATTTTCCAGATCTTGTTGCATTCCCAGTTCGTCGGCCATTTTGAAAATGTTAGCCTATTGATCTAAGGTAGAATTTGATTGGTTTAGCTGTTCGATAATTTACTGAATTCTCCATCCACCAATCACAACTCGTTTCCTATTTCTCTGTTGGAAAAGTAGTATTGGCGTTCGGACTGAAGGAAACATGGTCTGTTGGAGTGAAATTTGAAAGTCTGAATCAAAGTTTCTGCAGCAGCAATATTTGCTTTGCTCGCTGATCTTGTTGAATGTTGTAGGACTGACTTTTCATTTTTCTAGGAAGAACTGCGCATTAAAGGGTTTAATCCATCAGAAAAGGAGAGGAAGCTTACCGTGGGTAATTATCCAGAGCATAAAACTAATTTTCGCTATATCTTTTACTGATCCCTCTTTGTTCCTTTTCTGCTCACAGTTTCGCATTCCCAGTTCGTGGGCCATTTTGAAAATGTTAGCCTATTGATCTAAGGTAGAATTTGATTGGTTTAGCTGTTCGATAATTTACTGAATTCTCCATCCACCAATCACAACTCGTTTCCTATTTCTCTGTTGGAAAAGTAGTATTGGCGTTCGGACTGAAGGAAACATGGTCTGTTGGAGTGAAATTTGAAAGTCTGAATCAAAGTTTCTGCAGCAGCAATATTTGCTTTGCTCGCTGATCTTGTTGAATGTTGTAGGACTGACTTTTCATTTTTCTAGGAAGAATGGAGTAAATTAAAGCTCTTTTAATTTTGATATTATAGTTCACTTGAGCTACAATGCAGGTCAAAAGTCACGGGACACTTACCATGATATTGCTAAAATCTAATATTCCCCCCTCCCCCCAAACAACGTTGAATTTTGTGCGCTTTGTTAACTTTACTTAGATATGGCGATTGTTCAGTTTTACCAAAATTATAAGAGGGGGGAGGGGAGGTTTTGTTTCAAAAACTGCGCATTAAAGGGTTTAATCCATCAGAAAAGGAGAGGAAGCTTACCGTGGGTAATTATCCAGAGCATAAAACTAATTTTCGCTATATCTTTTACTGATCCCTCTTTGTTCCTTTTCTGCTCACAGTTTCGCTCATTCAGTTCCTGCAATGTGCAATCTGCTTCTTCCACATTCGATTCCACTTTACTTTCAATGAAGAATAAAACGCTCGCGGGCTCGAAAAGTGCGGGCTTGGTCGCTTGTGTCGCAGCCACGCCCATGAGACCTTGCTCGCAGCCTGAAAAATTGCATTTTGCGGCTCCAAGTACACAATCAAAAGTAATATGTGCAGTTAGCAAGCCTAAGCTACCCTTTTGGTTAGTGGAAGCGAAAGAAAAATAAAACTTTTTCTTTTCTCTCTGTTCTGAGAACTCGGAACGGGATCACGTTAGCGCCAGCGAGTTATTAGCGAGTGGACAAATTGATTATTAAAAGCTCACGATCCTCAATTGCGATACTGCGCTATCTCGAGAATTTAATTTTACGATGAAAAAGACTTCCCTCACCCATCCGTTTTAGATTGGCTGATGAATATTTAACTTGAAATTTATTGCATTAGATGTATTTACATGATAGAGCATTTTCGTTTTTTCCTTTTGTAACACAATATGTTCTGTGATGGACTAAGAAAACCTTGGAATACTGTCATTGAGCCACCCAAGTGAGCGGCCATCTCTCCGGTAACTTTCAGCTCCGTTTTCAGTTGCCATACATTGCTTTCAGCGTTGTAACATGCGACTGATAATTTTGTAAAAGTGTTTGTATTCCGGCTCACAACGTCTTCTTCCAGAACATACAACTCATCATCGATGGCCAACAGGCCTCGAAATGAGGTCCATCTGTTGAAGCTTTTAATCAGCTGCCATTCGTTGGTTTCTTCACTGTACATTTCACACGTGAGTTGAATTACCCTAGGCATATCACCCTGGGTTCCGGCAATGAATATTTTTCTGTTTACCGCTGCACCACAAGCCCTCTCTCTCGCTACTTGGATGTCCGCCAGTTTGTTCCACTGTTTTCTGCGAAGATCATACCTATCAACATCATTCACGAGCTTGCTTTGATACATTCCAGACCATACCTTACCACTAACGAAATAGATAAAACTATCGTGGACCACAATACTAAAACGGCTTCTCCAATCCAAATAATCAGTCGATAATATGTCTTCCCATGAGTCGGAATCTGGTTTATATTTCGCAAGAACGATGCGGTCTTTTTTGTAAAGGAACGGTCTGTACAAGTTAAAAACGAAGGAATCTATTACCTTCTCTTTTGAGAACAAAGCGTACATTTCATCCTCATAAACAAAAAGTTCAAGTAAATCTCTGTTTTCTACAGAAGGCATCGAGTTCCAAGCCTTTGAGTGTAGATTATACCATGTGACATCAAGTCTCCAGGATTCATGATGATACGGGACTAGCTCGACTCTTTTTTTAATATACAAGTTATCACGAAGGAAGAAAACACGTTTCCAGTTGATTAAGTATACTGGAATTTCATCAAACTTGCGCCACCGATCCTCACGAGGAAAATAACCGACAATCGTGAAATAATCTCCGTTCCTAGAGTAGGTGACCAAAACAGGGGTCTCAAGAGACTTTCTGGGCTTGTGACGAAGAGTATCGAAACTTTTATAGTCAATTAACTCGACAGCCTTTTCCACGAGCTCGATACAGTCTTCATTGTCTCTTACCAAATCATTTGTCACGACATCACTGAATAGAAAGTCACGCGATATGTAAACCAGTCGAACGTAACGAAATAACTCGGGAAAATGATGTTTTCGTTTGTTTTTGTCGTGATTAATCCAGGCTAGAATGGTATTTAACACATCTTCCTCGGCGCTAACATGTAGCTCATCGCTTGAAATCAACATTGCAAGTTCCTCTCTCGACATTTTCAAAACATCTTCACACTTCGTAGAGAGCAATACATTGAAATTTGCAAGGATTGACTTTTTGGTCTTGCATAAAAGTTCCTCACAGTGATATTCGCAAGCAAAACGGAGGATTGAAATACAATTTGAAGTATTCAATTTCTGTACCAGAATCTGCGTAGCTAGGGTCTTCAGCTTTTGAATAAACAAATAATCTGCCATCACAACCAAGTCTCTGGCATCATCTTCATCCAGTATCTGTACATTACCGGTGTAAATAAACTCCAATGTGTTTCTCATAACAGATTCGGTAAACATCTCTAAGCGAACCACTCCTTCTTTGGACTCCTTCATGTCGCTGTTCAGCAGCTTTTCAAAGAAAGGACTCGCCTCCGAAAGAGCTTTTCTGTGAGCTTTGAACTCGCCATCTTTGACCACCAAAGTAACATCGCACGGCTGATAGAGGCCATCTTTTGAGATTTCTTCTGCTGGATTAACTTTGTCAGATGTCAGAACAGTGTGAGGAATCGATGCCATTTTTTGTTTGGAATTGATAATTAATTTTTTTGTCGTTCTGTGACTTAATGCTGACTCATAATTGCACTTAGTTTGAATTTTACTCTCAGTTATATTAGCTCGACTCTTCATCCAATTAGAGACAAACGAATGAGTCGCACTGATCCTGATAATGAGATGTACAGGCGCATTGGACGCTTTGACCACACTCAGTCGCCTCCTTCTCTCCTTCCCTTGATTTTATCGTTTTAACCTCGATTGGCTTCTTTTTATTTTCCGGCTGCTTTGAGCGTTGTGATAAATTCTTTCTCGACCGTTTGAAAAGTGAAAATTTATTTGGATCGTTATCGGATTTCCTATAGTCCTCAAAAACGAAAAGTCAAAAATGGTCCAAATGATAGTGCCAGCATAAGCTTCGTGTTGTAATTAATTTTTTTCTCTCGACCACCACAATACCGTTCACTGCGTTACAATAGAAATTTGAATTCATTTCATGTAGTGCAGTCATGACTCAGCAATGAGCCTCCTGCCCCGAAGCAATGCGTCATGAACATTCAAATATAAACATCAATCGAAATTAAATTTACATTCATCTCTCATGCCGCTTACACTTCCTAACTTAGGATACAACAAGAGTGAAATAAAAAAATTGACTCTGAGCTAAGGTTCGCAAAAGGTAAATCGCATTAAAATTATAGTTTTGAGAAGATGAATATCACTTTCCGTCTGGCTTTAGAGAGCGTAGTATGCATCCCGCGATTTTCGTTGGAATTGAATCTTTAAATAATTCTTAACTGGTATAAAAATATCGCTTGTACCATGGTGTATAAACCGTCAATCAAGTCAATGTTTCATTTAAAATTTTCTTAGCCTTATTAACCTCACCAGCTCAAGTTTTCTTTTGACCCTGACGTATGCATATCACCATGAAAAGTTTAAGATCAGATAATTTTTTCCAACCCGTGCAAGAAAAGATCATTCCATTGCGACAAAGTCAGCGACCGTTCATCTACCGTTGATACAATTTGTCTCAATATCATACAACCACTTTTGCCTACTCTGACGACTCTAAAGAAACTCGGTAAGACTAACGAAAACATTTATCTTCAACGCGAAGTAAACCACAACATGAACTTCGACGATCCGTCCAAATGTTTCTTCACGTGATAATTCGCTCGCGGTTTCCTGATTCACTGAAACTTGTTAAGGAGTATGATCTGTATGATAGAAACATATCATCTCAATTTTGTGTTGGAGACAAACTTCTCTTGTCAGTGCTGATTCTTACTTGAATTAGAAATTTCCTTATTTCATGATTTATTGCTGACACATGACTGCCGAAAAAAGGATTCCTATTCGTCCATTCAGAGATTGATTTGAAAAGGAAAACTTCCGTTTTGGAGTGATGTACATTGAAATAACTCAACAGATTAGTGTGAGGCAAGCAACTGATAGCCACTTAACAGCAGAATAAAGTCACTAGTTGCCATTTTCAACACAGAGCCTCTCCGGGTCCACTATAAGACTAGGATGATCTTTCTCAAAGCAAAGTCTTCGATGATTTGAATAATTGCTAATTTATATTTCCCTTGCATCGTCATTAGCTACCAAACTAAGTAAAAAAATTGACAGAGAAATCAGGCGACCATGGTCTCTTGGAGAAAAGCAGTTCTGAGCTGATAGAAAAACATACATCACAAGTTTATGATAAACGCTACTGCCTCCTAACTGAGGAGGTCACAAAAGCCAATCCATGCAGTACTGAGAGATTTTACATCACAGAGCCAAACAAGCTATGGCATCATTGGGCTGGTCTTCTTTTTCCGTTGCCTTTACGGTTCAGTTAAAGAGTGAAAAAAAGTAAATGATTGTTTGGAGTTTAGATTGGCCTTATGTCAGAAGACTTCTCTTCTGGTTAATTGCTCTTTGTGTCTTGAAGTGTCTTACTCAAATCAAATTGTCCATTAAATCTTTGATGGACAGTTAAGCATTCCATACACACAACATTGCGGCTGCCAGAGTAAGATGTCATTGAAATATTGGCTTTTAATCACTACAACAAGAGCGCTCTTGATCCGTAATATGACTTCGCATTAAAAGCAATTGCAAAAGGAAACAACGCTTCGAAGTAAATTCAAATCATCCGATGACGACGTCTCTCTTTAAATAACAAAGAAAAAATTACATCCTGTGTTAACCCTTCTTAGGGTATTCTTCATCGAGCTGTGATTGAAAACATTTTTTTTAAATATCCCGAATCTCGGAGTAGAATAAAGTCTTCAGAGTTCAAAATAACAAGCTGAACTAACAGTTATTGTTACTGATGAGTGATTTTTTTAATCGCGCGTGGTTTGTAGCTTGGTACAGTCAGATAATAACAATCAATATTCCTATCATGTATGCAATTTTGACAAAAACTAAAAAAGCTCTTACAAGAAATGAAGCAGGCGCCGGAAAAAAGTAAAAGGAGGAGACGTATTCTGTGTAAGAAGTATTGTCACGATCTGATTGGTGCAAGAGACTATCTCTAATGCCTCGATCTGATTGATGCATGCAACAATACCTCGATGCTGCGATCTGATTGGTGCGAGCATGAAATGATGAGCATAAGCCACTAACTATCATTTTATTTTTTACAAGGGGGGGGGGAGGGGTGGGGACGTAAAAGGAAGAAGAACACTAAGTGGTCAAGTGGAGCTGAGTCCAAAATGTGTTTTTTGGTAATTAGTCCAGAAGAGCATGAGTGGACGACGATCGGGAATTCCCGAAGTGATCTGTTTGCTTGCAGTTTTAGACCTCTTGGAAAGTCATAGAGTCGAAGATCTAAGGGGCAAATTATTCAACTGCGTTGCATTAGTTCCGAGAGAAGTCTGTATATTGGTAAGTCGGTCGACATTGTGTCTATGAACCTAAAGAATTTTCTGTCGATGTCGAAGATCGAGGCGTATCCTGAGTGGTAACAGATACAAAACTTTTCAATTTTGAATTATCGAGCCAACCTTTGAAAATTCTTATTGAACAAACGTTCAGTACAGAAGACATCCTCGTCAGGAGTTTGTTCGGGCTCCATCTGTTCCTCTCAAAGTCGTAGTGTTTTACTGTCTGGATTTTCGTGATCACACTTTCAATCAAAGCATACACCTCGCCATCGACAGTCACGAAGTTTATAATTCTATTTGGATAAGATCCTTCGTTGAAGCCTTCGATGAGGTGCCATTCATTTGTTTCTTCATCGTAAATTTCACACTGATTCACTTGTGCTCCCCTCTTAACACCGCCAGCGATGATAACTTTCCCGTTTCCTGCAGCACCACTAGCCCGCTTTCTTGCTATTTGAAGACCTGTTAGTTTTTCCCACTGGTCTGTGTTAAGGTCGTACCTGTCCACATCATTCAGAAACTCGCACTCGCGTCCGTGCCATTTTATTCCGCCTATGAAATAAATGAAATTGTTATGGGCCACAATGGTAAAATGCTGTCTCAGATCCAAATGATTGAAAGATGTGACTTCTTTCCACTTGTGTAATTCAGGTTTATATTGCATAATGAAGGAAACATGTTTCTCTTCGGTTCCTTCCTTGGCACATCGTCGGCCGAAAAGACGTTTTGAGTGTCTTCTTCCATTTCGAATCCGCCAACCACGATAATGATCCCAACCACATCGTTCCAAGAACAAAGCAAACATTTCATCTTTATTGTTGACAAATATCCTCCAAAGACATGTGTTTCCCTCCGAGACTGGTAACGAGGTCCAAGCGTTCGAGTAGGGATCGTAGCATGACATATGCAGTCTACAGATATCTTGTGGGTATTCAACTGACCCTATTCTTGTGCTGTACAACTTACTATTGCAGGAAAAAATTCGGCTAGCTCTCGATTCTGAAGGCCTCTCGTCACCCAAAGTATACCAGCTATTTTCACGGGGAAAAAAGCACATTAAATATTTTTGACTGTAAGTGATCAAAACAGAGCTTTCAAAAACCTTTCTAGGCGTGTAATGGAGATTATCTGGGAGATTGTCAAAGTTCTTAGAGTCAAGTGTGCCGATAGCTTTATGACCAAGATCCAGACAACCTTTATTGCCTTTGACCAATTCATTTGTCACGACATCATTGCTCAGAAAGTCACGCGATATGTGAAGTAGTCGAACGTGACGAAACAACTCTGCGAAGTAATTCTGTCGCTTTCTTTTTGCGTGATGAATCCAGGCAAGAATGATGTTAAACACATCTTCCTCGGTGCTGACATGCAGCTCGTCCCTGGAAATCAACATTGTAAGTTCCTTGATCGACATTCTCAAAACATTCTCACGATTATGAGTGAATATGGTAGTGAAATTTGAGAGGGTAAAAGTTTTGGTCTTAGAGACAAGTTCCTCGCAGTGATATTCATCAGCAAAACGGAAAATTGAAATACAATTTGAAATATTACATTTTTGAAATAAAACTTGGGCCGCCAAAATCTTCAAGTTCGGTAGAAGCAAATAATCTGCCAGCATAATCAAATCTCTGGCCTCGTCTTCATCCAGTATCTGTACATTACCGGTGTAAATAAACTCCAATGTGCTTCTCATAAGAGAGTCGGTGAAGATCTCCAAGCGAACTACTCCTTCTTTGGACTCCTTCATGTCGCTGTTCAGCAGCTTTTCAAAGAATGGACTCGCCTCTGAAAGAACTTTTCTATGAGCTTTGAACTCGCCATCTCTGACCACCAAAGTAACATCGCACGGCTGATCGAGTCCATCTTTTAAGAAAAACACTTTACCAGAGATTTCTTGTGTTGGACCAACTTTGTCAGATGTTAGAACAGTGTGAGGGATCGATGCCATCTTTTCTTTCGAATTGATAATTAAATTTTCGTTCTGCGACTCAATGCTGACTCATAACTGCACTTAATTTGAATTTCACTGCCAGTAATATTGGTTCGAGTCTTTATCCAATAAGAGACAAATGAATTGAGTTAGACTTATTCTGATAACTTTATAACTTCTGAGTGGCCTTTAAATATTTGTAAAGAAAGGTTTTGTAGTCTCCGGGTTTGAATTTTAATTTCGTCTCCATTTTAAAACATGGATTAAATTTTGACCTGCAACTGAGTTTGCAAGACCGGCAGTTGCTTCTAAACATCACTCAGCTAAATCAACCCACTTTTTAAACACTGCATTTATGTTCTTCAACGCTTAAAAAAAACTAAAACAAGTTGACTTGTGCCACAATACATATTTCCACTCTCAAGATCAAATACTAAATTGGACTTTGTTTTTATTTCCCGGTTGCCTTGTACTATGTGATGAATTCTTTCTCGGCCATTTGAAGGGTTAAAATTTCTTTGGATCGTTTTGATTTCCTCCTCAAAAACAAAAAGTCAAAATGGTCCGAAATAGTGCCAATACACATGCACTTCATGTTAATTGTATTTAGTTTTTTCTTTCGACCACTGCAATACCGTTCACTCCGTTAAGGTAGAGATTTTGATATATTTTCATGTTTCGCTGTCATGACTCAGCAATGAACTTGCCACGAAACAACAAGTCATGGAAATTAAAATTTAACCATCAATCGAGGTTAAGTCTGCGTTCATCTTTTATGTTACTTACACTTCCTAGCGTAAAATACAGCCAGGATGAAATAAAGAGTTGGATCTCAAAACGAGTTCTCAGAAAGTCAATCACGATAAAATCACAGCTTTTGACTGGCCCGGGTGGGGGGGAAGGGAATAAATCACATGGTTTCCATGGGGGAAGGGAGAAGGGGGGGGAATTAAAAAATTAACTGCAAATGAGAGGGGGGAGAATCGTAAGAATATTACAGCACCTTAGGGGGGGGACTAGGTAAATGTTTTCGTGACACAACTAAAATCCTTCAATCCCACCCTTCTCCCAGACGAGGAATAATAATTATGACCCTCGTGAACATTGCAAGTTGCAAGTTCCTCTTTGGACATTTGCAAAACATCTTCACGCTTCGCAGAGAATAATGCTCTGAAATTTGCAAGGATAATTTGATAGGATGGTCTTGCATAAAAGTTCCTCGCAGTGATATTCATCAGCCAAATGGAAAATTGAAATACAATTTGAAATATTCAATTCTTTCAATAAGGTTTGCGTTGCCAGGGTCTTCAGGTTCTGGAGCAACAAGTAATCTGCTATCACAACCACGTCTCTGGCATCATCTTCATCCAGTATCTGTACATTACCGGTGTAAATAAATTCCAATGTGCTTCTCATAAGAGAGTCGGTGAAGATCTCCAAGCGAACTACTCCTTCTTTGCACTCCTTCATGTTGCTGTTCAGCAGCTTTTCAAAGAATGGACTCGCCTCTGAAAGAACTTTTCCATGAGCTTATCTCTGACCACTAAAGTAACATCATAGGGCTGATCGGGTTCTTCTTTCGTGAACCACATTTTACTTGGGATTTCTCGCTGAGATATGCAAGAAGTCGGTGAAATTGATGCCATCTGAAAAGGGAGTTTTCACTTTCCCGACTTAGGGCTGAGAGTCAAAGTCATCTGTAAATTTGCCCACAGATTTCTTCCGCTTTGCCATTTGCATGTGCCAAATTACTATTGGTCTTCACTGCAATAGTCAAGTGGCAGTACGTGGCTATCAAAGCCGACTTGTAGTTCTAATCACGTACGGTTTATGTGCTCTCGGTCGGATGTACGATGCGAGTTAACCCTTTGACCACTAAGAGTGACTAGCATCTAATTTCTCCTTACAATATCAGCCCTGAATCAAACATTAAGATCATGAGAATAAAAGAAATGATCCCCAACTTAAGAGGCTTTTGACTGTAAAACAAATTCCCTTTGTCATCACCTTAGGAAACGTATAGAGAACAGTATGGAGAATATGGATGCTGATGTTAAGGTGTAAAGGATTTACAGTGTATCTGCTTGAGGAATTTTTTGCGCCTTATTTTGGTGAATAGTACCAAATAATAGCTCACTGAGATATTGCGTTGAACTCAAATCCTGCGGAGTCCCTTATTTGCGTCATAAGTGTGCAGTGAAAAGAAATTATTTGCATTGTTGTGGTTTCTTGTTCCGTGAACCTTTGAGCGAGCGAAAAAGACGACAGTCTTAAGGGGGAAGGGGGGGAGCTTGGGTTAAACAGATGGCTTTCTTGTTTGTTTGTTTTTTTTCTTTTGTTTTGTTTTGTTTTTGCTCTCTTTTTCCCCAAGAACACGCGCGGACACGGAAAGGCGAAAAAGTTGTAAACGTATATCAGGAGGAACTGATCCCAGTAAATACCTGGTCACATACTTAAATTATCCTATACACTTGAAATGAACAGCAGTAGTTGTATTGACCAAGTTCCTTTTTTACTAAGCAACGACCACACAAAAGTAAACAAGAAAAAACCGCAACAGAAAAAAACTCAAAAGGTTGACGCAAACACTCAGTCAGCAGAATCCGCTAACACTGTTTTGTTCTATGCCACGCTGGCCTTAGGCAATGTTTAGTTGCTCACTCACAATTATTTCATATAGAAAAGAAACCGCAATTCCTATCGACTCAGTGCATAGCAGCCCACAGTAATATTCGGTCGACACGAGAGAAGCTCTTCTATCTTTTGCATTCGGCTCTCGATTTGCGAACTTTGTTCCTGTTCTCTTAAAGCTCCTTAATGAATCCCGCGTGGGTTATAGCGTCAATAACCCGGGAGAAAGTGCGTTTTATCATCTTAAATATATAGCAAAGACACTCTTGATTACAACCATCTTTCAACTTTGTCAACACCTCAGAAGGTGCCTGGTTGCGCAAGAGATACTTAAAGCTTATAATGCGCGATAGAAAAAAGTCAGTATTTTAAAGTATTTAACCAGCTTCACCGCAAACTTGCGTTACGTCAGTAAACCTGTATACGCCATAGGTATGAAGTAACTGAGGGTCAGTCGTGCTACAGAACATTTGGATGATGTACTAACATCTCTTATTTTTACTAGGATGTCTCTCTGTTCCATCACCTCAGCTATATGAGGGCTAAATCGGTAATGGTTTGCACTACCATAAGTGGTCTTGATAACTTGGAATTCATCTATACTATGAAGAGTTCTGACCGTGCCTTCTTGTTCAAGCGTCTAGTTCTTCATATAATCCCGCCATTCTGCGGCTTTAAACGCGAAATGGTACACTTCTCCATTTACTCTGTAGGAGGATCCAGCCGCTTGCCGTAACGTGGCAAAGTCAATAGCTTCATCAAGGTCATCTGTGAAGTGAACTCCTTCGCCCAAACGTGCCTCACGGTCATCCAAACTGTATGGGTTTTTACCTTTATTCACGCCTCGGTAAAGTGTTCCATCTTTTGGCTTTGACAAGTGAATAATTTCACACTCCCCTTCGCTAAGTGCGGTCTTCCAAGCATGGATTATTGATGATCCACTGCATCCTAAAGGTCTGCCTGTTACACCCGTGCCGCCACTCGACTCTCCTTCATCTGAAACACCTTCTCTTCTCTCGTCTTCTCCTTCGCTTATCTCTGTAGCTGATAGATACACCCATTCACCGAAATCACTATCTGCTTCGCTTTCACCACTTTCTGTTTGACCCTCCTCAAATTCTATTCGGAACTCATCTCTATCGGCTCTTGTCACGGATGATGACGCACCCAGAACCTCGCTGTTTTCTCCACATTCGAACTTCGCCAAGTCATGATGGTCATGTGGATGGGTAACTTTGCCTCCTTTAAACAGAGTTCCGACATCATACACTCCTATTCCGTCCATGATGGGGGACATAACACCCTCCACCACGCCCCCGATAATCGTCTGTGGGTCTTTACCCGTGGCAACATTAGTCCAAGCTTTGATTTGTCCGGCTGGAGTATACTTCCCTTCTACAGCCGACTCTACTCCAGTTGTTATGCCATCCATCACAGCTCCCCCGCGATACCCCCAGCAACCATTCCCACTGGACCACCGGATACCCCTAGAACGCCCCCTACGACAACCCCGGTTGACCTTGAAGCCTTCTTCATTGCCTCATTCCCACTCTTTCTGTCCCCGATGGCATAGTGTATTCCACCTTTGATGTGCCCTATCACAGGCATGCCATTGGCTACTTCATTGGTGGTGTGAATGACCACTTTGCCAGACTCGACCGCAGCTTCAGCCGTATGCTTTGCTAACTTGACGACCGTCTTATTTAAGGTATCCACCCGTCCAAAAGTGACTCCAGAAGCGGCTGCCACGGCACCTGTTGCTACGGCAGAGCCTACCGTTTCTCCAACGTGACGCACAACCGTCTTAGAGGCGGCATTTCCCGTAAACTTGGCGCATTCGACCGCAGCATTATTCAGAGCATCAACCTGACCAAACGTAACTCCAGCGGCAACTGAAGTGGCACCAGTAGCGATTGCTCCTCCGACTGTACTCACTTCGTTTCCCATCTCTCTTTATATTTAAATCTAAAACCAAGAGAATATAATATAGTTTATATTCTTTTGCTGAGACAAAATCGAAGACAACAAAAAAGCGTGGGAGGAGAGAGTGAGGAAAAGGATGGTGGAGTTACTTCATTCAAGATTAAGAAAACGGGATAAGCTATAGCAATAAATACAGATCAGCCTTAGAGAACTAACATCCTTTATGCTCTCTGTCTACAAGATGGCAATCAAACTCAATTTTGTTTGGTTAATTACCATCAAATGCGAATTTGGGCCGAAACTCCAATTGATTGTTCAACTGTCTGCTCCACTAATGAATCAATTTTTTTCGCCCTTAAAAGTTCGTTTGTTTTTTTCTTTTTCTAGCTCTTAAGTCCAAAAGCTGTTGCGTTTGCGTGACTGTTGTCCTAGCGTGACATTGGAGGAAACGGATTCTGTTTTGATTAGATCTGACTTTTTCGGTTTTTTTTGTTTTTCTTTTCTAACCAACAAAATTCAAGGATTTCCTAATTTTTTTTTACAAACATTTATCAAATGTCAACAAAGAACTGATTAGCACACACGAGCACAAGATTTCGATCAATGGAAACACTTTCCTGTGAATGTAATTATCTGTTTGATCGGTCAAACCATTAAAATCCCCCCTTCCCCTACGTCTCTATTTTAAATGGGGACAGAGCGCACTAAATCATTAGCATTGTTGATAATTTGGGGTAATAGCATTTTTAACGTAATGTCTATTCAGAAATTCCGTCAAGTGTCACCGCGGTTTGAGGAATTACCATTAACGACTGTTTTATCTAACTACTTGAGAACAAAAGTTGCTATTTACAACGAAAAGTTTCTACATATTCTACCCAACACTTCGGTATGCTCGACTTTCCCTCGATCGTCGCACAAGCACTCTGCTGTCTTTTGAGTGAACTATTCGAGTGTATATGAAATGGCGGAAAACTGAATTTGGACATCATTTCGACTCGTCACCTCTCCGAAATTATCAAAAACAACACGAATCGCTCGCGGATTCCGTTATTCTCTTCTTCATTTGCACCTAAAATTTAATTTAGTTAAAACGGCGATGAAAAATTTTAACATAGGGACATTTGCGTTTACAGATGCGTCGAATTTAAGCGACTTAATTTGTGTTTTGAAATAAATTTTCGTCAAGCTAACACTCACCTTTTTTTGTGTATTCCAGCTGCGTCTTCTACCTCAAAAAGAGTCTTCCCACTATGGAAAACAACACTGGAAAGCTATGATACAGAAAGTTGATAGCGTTGAAACCGAGGCCGATGTGGTAATGAAATGCGCACTTCCTCCGATGTTTACGTGAACCTTCGGGATTTTGCCGATGACATCCACGAGCTTTTGCCCTAAAATTTCATTCTTAACTACTTGATTCTGTCAAAGTATTCTCTTGACTGTCATATCACGGAGAAGTCACAGAGTTTTTCCCAAAACGATTGGCTCAAAGCTCCCGGCTCTGTTTGTTTGATGCAGTATCTCGTAAGACATCTGAACTCCAGGAAACTGGAGACTAGTAAGATATCTCCCATAGTCCGTGACCTTGTATTTTCTTTCGTTTCCTCCAGGAAGATTCCCTTAGATGCTCTTCACTCCGGCAATGTTAACTTATAATCTTCACCTAAATATTTTGAGAAGTAACTGAATGGTGCGATTGAAAGAAAGTATTTTCCTAGAGTATCTCACAAGCCCTAGCCATCTTGAATAAATTTACAACTAATGTTAGATTTGATTGGTCAAACCAATCGAGTCCATGGATCCTATTTCTAAACGACTAATCATAACCTTGATTCTATTTTTCCCATGGTTCTTAGGAGAGTCCAAAGTATGTTTTTTGGTAATTAGTCCAGAAGAGCATGAGTTGACGACAATCGGTTAGTCACATAGTCGAAGATCTAAAGGCGAACATATGCAGTGTAAATTCACGGCTGAGCACTTTGTGTTTTAAGGCCAATTATTCGACTGCGTTGCATTAGTTCCGATAGAAGTCTGTATATTGGTAGGTCGGTGAACGCTGTGTCTATGATGCTAAAGAATGTTCTATCAATGTCGAACATCTGGGCGTATCCTGAGTGGTAACAGATACAAAACTTTTCAATTTTGAATTGTCGAGCCAACCTTTGAACATTCTCATTGAACAAACGTTCAGTACAGAAGACATCCTCGTCAGGAGTTTGTTCGGGCTCCATCTGTTCCTCTCAAAGTCGTAGTGTTTTACTGTCTGGATTTTCGTAATCACACTTTCAATCAAAGCATACACCTCGTCATCGACAGTCACGAAGTTTATAATTCTATTTGGATAAGATCCTTCGTTGAAGCCTTTGATGAGGTGCCATTCATTTGTTTCTTCATCGTAAATTTCACACTGATTCACTTGTGCACCCCTCTTAACACCGCCAGCGATGATAACTTTCCCGTTTCCTGCAGCACCATTAGCCGCTTTCTTGATATTTGAAGACCTGTTAGTTTTTCCCACTGGTCTGTGTTAAGGTCGTACCTGTCCACATCATTCAGAAACTCGCACTCGCGTCCGTGCCATTCTATTCCGCTTATGAAGTAAATGAAATTTTCATGGGCCACAATGGTAAAATGCTGTCTCACATCCAAGTGATTGAAAGATGCGATTTCTTTCCACTTATGTAATTCAGATTTATATCGCATAATGAAGGAAACATGTTTCTCTTCGGTTCCTTCCTTGGCACGTTGTCGGCCGAAGAGACGTTTTTAGGGTCTTCTTCCATTTCGAATCCGCCAACCACGATAGTGATCCCAACCACATCGTTCCAAGAACAAAGCAAACATTTCATCTTTATTGTTGACAAATATCCTCCAAAGACATGTGTTTCCCTCTGAGACTGGTAACAAGGTCCAAGCGTTCGAGTAGGGATCGTAGCATGACATAGGCAGTCTACAGATATCTTGTGGGTATTCAACTGACCCTATTCTTGTGCTGTAAAACTTACTATTGCAGGAAAAAATTTGGCTAGCTCTCAATTATCCGTGAGATTTTCAAAGTTCTTAGAGTCGAATATGCTGATAGCTTTATAAACGACATCCAGAAAAACTTCATTGCCTTTGACCAGTTCATTTGTCACGACATCATTGCACAGAAAGTCACGCGATATGTGAAGCAGTCGAACGTGACGAAACAACTCCGCGAAGTAATTCTGTCGCTTTCTTTTTGCGTGATGAATCCAGGCAAGAATGGTGTCAAACACATCTTCCTCGGTGCTCAACATTGAAAGTTCCTTGAACGACATTCTCAAAAAATTCTCACGATTCTGAGTGAATAAGGAGGTGAAATTTGAGAGGGTAAAAGTTTTGGTCTTAGAGACAAGTTCCTCGCAGTGATATCCATCGGCAAAACGGAAAATTGAAATAAAATTCGAAATAATACATTTTTTAAATAAAACTTAGGCTGCCAAAATCTTTAACTTCGGTAGAAGCAAATAATCTGCCAGCATAATCAAGTCTCTGGCATCATCTTCATCCAGTATCCAGTATATACCGGTGTATATAAACTCCAATGTGCTTCTCATAAGAGAGTCGGTGGTCATCTCTGACCAACGAAGTAAAAGTAACATCGCACGGCTGATCGAGTCCATCGTTTGAGAGGAACACTTTGCCAGAGATTTCTTGTGTTGGAACAACTTTGTGCGATGTTAGAACAGTATGGGGGATCGATTGTTTTTCGTTCTGCGACTCAATGCTGACTCATAATTGCACTTACTTTGAATTTCACCGCCAGTAATATTGCCTCGACTCTTCATCCAATTAGAAACAAATGAATTGGGTCGGACTTATTCTGATAGTAAGAGGGACAGGCGCATTGAACATTTTTACCACCCTTGGTCCCCTCCCCTTCACCGCTTTTTTCTTTCAAACTTCTGAGTGGCCTCTAAATATTTCTAAAGAAAGGTTTTGTAGTCTCCGGGTTTGAATTTTAATTTCGTCTCCATTTTAAAACATGGATTAAATTTTGACCTGCAACTGAGTTTGCAAGACCGGCAGTTGCTTCTAAACATCACTCAGCTAAATCAACCCACTTTTTAAACACTGCATTTATGTTCTTCAACGCTTAAAAAAAACTAAAACAAGTTGACTTGTGCCACAATACATATTTCCACTCTCAAGATCAAATACTAAATTAGACTTTGTTTTTATTTCCCGGTTGCCTTGTACTTTGTGATGAATTCTTTCTCGGCCATTTGAAGGATGAAAATTTCTCTGGATCATTTTGATTTCCTCCTCAAAAACAAAAAGTCAAAATGGTCCGAAATAGTGCCAATACACATGCACTTCATGTTAATTGTATTTAGTTTTTTCTTTCGACCACTGCAATACCGTTCACTCCGTTACGGTAGAGATTTTGATATATTTTCATGTTTCGCTGTCATGACTCAGCAATGAGCTTGCCACGAAACAACAAGTCATGAAAATTCAAATTTAACCATCAATAAAGATTAAGTTTGCGTTCTTCTTTTATATTGCTTACACTTCCTGACGTAGAATACAACCAGGATGAAATAAAAGAGTTGGATTTGAATACGAGTTCTCAGAAAGTCAATCACGATAAAATCACAGCTTTTTACTGGCCTGGGTGGGGGGGGGAGGGAATAAATCACATGGTTTCCATGGGGGAAGGGAGAAGGGGGGGGAATTAAAAAATTAACTGCAAATGAGAGGGGGGGAGAATCATAATAATATTACAGCACCTTAGGGGGGGACTAGGTAAATGTTTTCGTGACACAACTAAAATCCTTCAATCCCACCCTTCTCCCAGACGAGGAATAATAATTATGACCCTCGTGAACATGACGCACATGTCATTGAATTGATGTGTGGCAGACAGGCCAATAGTTTAATTTTGACCTCAACTTCTCATTAGCCTGCTCTTTTGACACTGTTTATTATTGATACATAAGCATATCACCATTAAGAGATTCGATACTTTCTTGTTGACTCGTGCAAAACCAGATCATCCAACTGTGGCAAAGTCAGTGACTTTCATTTAAAGTTGAGTCAATATGTCTTGAAACCACGCAAGTACCATTGCGACTCTTAAGAAACTATGTAAGTCAAAGACTACGTGAAAATAATCATCTTCGAAGCGGAAAAAGTGCAGATAAACCTCAGTTTATGAAGTAAGCCACAACATAAACTTAGACCAACTTTCTTGAGTTTTTCTCCACAGGATCGTTCGGTAGTTATGCAAAATCAAACCTTATCAAAATTTCCCCTGACAAGGAATGTAACATTTAATTGTCTTTACACAATTATAATATGGCAATAGCAAATAAACAAAAAAAAGTCTTTTCAAAGATCAGAAAAATAATATTTGCCAATCTATACCGATAATTGATGAAAATTCTAAAGAAGGTAGGGTTTATGTCACACGATTGAGCACTTTCGTTTGTCTCTTCTGTGATGAGTTTGTCTGGTCTGTGATGAATCCTGCGTTAAACACGGTGTAAATTGTGAGGAACTTAGAGACCCCTGAAACACTTTCATTGTGTCGCAAATTTTAAACTGTCGCTGAGCTCTTTCATGCCATGTAATTGAAATTTCAGTTTTCAGCTTCCATTCATCGCTTTCGGGGTCGTAACATTGGACTCTTAACAGTTCCGTCACGCTTGATCGATCATAGCCCACAACATATACCTCGCCATCTACGGCAATCAAACCTAAAAATGCCTCTCGCTCCACGCTAAAGCTTCTAATAAACTGCCATTCATTTGTTGTTTCATTGTACACTTCACACAGGAGTTCATCTTGGCCTGGTTTCATTTCATTTTTAGTCCATCCAGCAATATATATTTTTCCGTTCGCCGCTGCTCCCCAAAGCTGGTTCTGTCTTCCTGCCTGAATGTCTGCTAGTTTATCCCATTTTTTTCTGCAAAGATCGTACCTATAAACATCACGTAAGAGCCTTCTTCCATATGTTTCCGTACCGCCAATGAAGTAAACGAAGTTTTCGCTGGGCACAACGCAATAATGTCTCCTATAAGCCAGACCCTCTGTTAACAATACGTCCTCCCATGAATTGGAATCTACTTTGTACTTTGAGATGATGTTGCCGCTTTCCTTTTCAAAACGACATCTACCAGACCAGACGACGTCGGAGACAGGCCACCACTTATGAAATAAGAACAAAGCATACATTTCATCATTGTAAACGAAGAGTTTCTTCAAAAGTGTGTTGTTATCAAATGATGGTAAAGACTTCCATCTATAAGAGTGTGGATTAAAACATAAGATGCGAAGTCCCCAAAAATAACTTCTATTTGATAGCTCACGCCTTGTACAGTACATTTTATCGCGACAAAAGAAAATACCGTCGTCACTTTGCAAATATATTGGTTCCTTTTTATACCACTTATCCTCGCGTGGAAAATAAAAAAGGTATTTTCCTTCCGTTGTGTAGGCGACAATTGCAGAGTACTCTAGACACTTTCTCGGTTTGCGATCAAGATTATCAAGTTCATCAACACTGTTAGAGTCGATTAATTCAATAGCTCCTTTCGCAAGTTCCAGACAGTCTTCATTGTTTTTAACCAACTCATTTGTCACGACATCATTACAGAGAAAGTCACGCGATATGTAAACCAGTCGAACTTGACGAAATAGCTCGGGAAAATGACTTCTTCGATTGTTTTTGTCGTGATTAATCCAGGCTAGAATGATACTTAACACATCTTCCTCGGCGCTAACATGTAGCTCATCGCTTGAAATAAAAATTGCAAGTTCCTCTTTGGACATTTGCAAAACATCTTCACGCTTCGCAGAGAATAATGCTCTGAAATTTGCAAGGATAAATATTTTGGTCTTGCATAAAAGTTCCTCGCAGTGATATTCATCAGCCAAATGGAAAATTGAAATACAATTTGAAGTATTCAATTCTTTCAATAAGGTTTGCGTTGCCGGGGTCTTCAGGTTCTGGAGCAACAAGTAATCTGCTATCACAATCAAGTCTCTGGCATCATCTTCATCCAGTATCTGTACATTACCGGTGTAAATAAACTCCAATGTGTTTCTCATAGCAGAGGCGGTGAAGATCTCCAAGCGAACCACTCCTTCTTTAGACTCCTTCATGTCGCTGTTCAGCAGCTTTTCAAAGAAAGGACTCGCCTCTGAGAGGACTTTTCGGTGAGCTTTGAAGTCGCCATCTCTGACGACTAAAGTGACATCATAAGGCTGATCGAGTTCTTCTCTCGTGAACCACGCTTGAATTGGGATTTCTCGATTTGAATTAACTCGCTGAGATATGCAAGCAGTCGGTGAAATCGATGCCATCTTAATTTTCCAATTGAATAGGGAATTTTCACTTTCACGACTCAAGGCTGATGGGCAAGGTCATCTGTGAATTTGCGCACTGATTTCTTCCGCTGTCATTTGCATGTGCCAAATTACCATTGGTCTTCACTGCAATTGTCAAGTGGCAGCACGTGGCTATCAAAGCCGACTTGTAATTCTAATCACGTACGGTTTATGTGCTCTCGGTCGGATGTACGATGCGAGTTAACCCTTTGACCACTAAAGAGTGACTAGCATCTAATTTCTCCTTACAATATCAGCCCTGAATCAAACATTAAGGTCATGAGAATAAAAGAAATGATCCCCAACTTAAGAGGCTTTTGACTGTAAAACAAATTCCCTTTGTCATCACCTTAGGAAACGTATAGAGAACAGTATGGAGAATATGGATGCTGATGTTAAGGTGTAAAGGATTTACAGTGTATCTGCTTGAGGAATTTTTTGCGCCTTATTTTGGTGAATAATACCAAATAATAGCTCACTGAGATATTGCGTTGAACTCAAATCCTGCGGAGTCCCTTATTTGTGTCATAAGTGTGCAGTGAAAAGAAATTATTTGCATTGTTGTGGTTTCTTGTTCCGTGAACCTTTGAGCGAGCGAAAAAGACGACAGTCTTAAGGGGGAAGGGGGGGAGCTTGGGTTAAACAGATGGCTTTCTTGTTTGTTTGTTTTTTTCTTTTGTTTTGTTTTATTTTTGCTCTCTTTTCCCCCAAGAACACGCGCGGACACGGAAAGGCGAAAAAGTTGTAAACGTATATCAGGAGGAACTGATCCCAGTAAATACCTGGTCACATACTTAAATTATCCTATATACTTGAAATGAACAGCAGTAGTTGTATTGACCAAGTTCCTTTTTTACTAAGCAACGACCACACAAAAGTAAACAAGAAAAAACCACAACAGAAAAAAACTCAAAAGGTTGACTCAAACACTCAGTCAGCAAAATCCGCTAACATTGTTTTGTTCTATGCCACGCTGGCCTTAGGCAATGTTTAGTTGCTCACGCCTCACTTAAGTGACAAATTATGAGGAAGGACTCGCTTTAAGCGAAAGCTCCTATTCTACGGGCAGATTGATAAAACTATCCTCAATACTACGCGAAGACTAGTTAGTTAAAAACCTACTGTTCATTGTTCCAGTAAACCCACAGAAAACCTACACGTTTCACAATTATTTCATATAAGCAAGAAACCGTAATTCCTATCGACTCAGTGCATAGCAGCCCACAGTAATCTTCGATCGACACGAGAGAAGCTCTTCTATCATTTGCCTTCGGCTCTTGATTTGTGAACTTTGTTCGTGTTCTCTCAAAGCTCCTCAATGAATCCCGCGTGGATTATAGCGTTGATAACCAGAGAGTTTTATTATCTTAAATGTATAGCAAACGCCCTTTATTACAACCACCACCTCGGAAGATGCCTGGTTGCGCAAAAGATACTTAAAGATTGTAATGCGCGATAGAAAAAAGTAAGTATTTTAGAGTACGCCATGGGTATGAAGTGACTGAGGTTCAGTCATGTTAAAGAACATTTGGATGAGGTACTAACATCTCTTATTTTTACCAGGGTGTCTCTCTGTTCCATCACCTCAGCTATATGAGGGCTAAATCGGTAATGGTTTGCACTACCATAAGTGGTCTTGATAACTTGGAATTCATCTATACTATGAAGAGTTCTGACCGTGCCTTCTTGTTCAAGCGTCCAGTTCTTCATATAATCCCGCCATTCTGCGGCTTTAAACGCGAAATGGTACACTTCTCCATTTACTCTGTAGGAGGATTCAGCCGCTTGCCGTAGCGTGGCAAAGTCAATAGCTTCATCAAGGTCATCTGTGAAGTGAACTCCTTCGCCCAAACGTGCCTCATGGCCATCCGCACTGTATGGGTTTTCACCTTTATTCACGCCTCGGTAAAGCGTTCCATCTTCTAGCTTTGACAAGTGAATAATTTCACCTTCTCCTTCGCTAAGTACGGTTTTCCAAGCATGGATAATTGATGATCCACTGCATCCTAAAGGTCTGCCTGTTACACCCGTGCCGCCACTCGACTCTCCTTCATCTGAAACACCTTCTCTTCTCTCGTCTTCTCCTTCGCTTATCTCTGTAGCTGATACATACACCCATTCACCGAATTCACCATCTGCTTCGCTTTCACCACTGTCTGTTTTGCTTTCCTCGACTTCCCTTTGACTCTCCTCAAATTCTGTTTCCCTTGCCTCCCCTGCTGAATGCTCCATCCTTCTAAGGACTCCACCCTTTTCGTCACTTCCTAGACCTTCTGCTTTCCTTCCCTCGCCAACCAATCGACCCACTCCCTCAGCGTCTTCGCTCGATCTATCTTCTGCCTCCCTTCCATTAGTGTGTGGTTGATCCTCACCTCTATCGGCTCTTGTCACGGCTGATGACGCACCCGAATCCTCGCTATTTTCTCGTTCCGCCTTGGAATGATTTGATACAGGTTTTGACTTTTCGGAATCGGATTCAATTGGAACTTCTACATGTTCGAACTCCGCCAAGTCGTGATGGTCATGTGGATGCGTAACTCTACCTCCTTTAAACAGAGTTCCGACATCATAACCTCCTACTCCGTCCATGATGGGGGACATAACACCCCCCACCACGCCCCCGATAATCGTCTGTGGGTCTTTACCCGTGGCAACATTAGTCCAAGCTTTGATTTGTCCGGCTGGAGTATACTTCCCTTCTATAGCCGACTCTACTCCAGTTGTTATGCCATCCATCACAGCTCCCCCTGCGATACCCCCGGCAACCATTCCCACTGGACCGCCGGATACCCCTAGAACGCCCCCTACGACAACCCCAGTTGACCTTGAAGCCTTCTTCATTGCCTCATTCCCACTCTTTCTGTCCCCGATGGCATAGTGTATTCCACCTTTGATGTGCCCTATCACAGGCATGCCATTGGCTACTTCATTGGTGGTGTGAATGACCACTTTGCCAGACTCGACCGCAGCTTCAGCCGTATGCTTTGCTAACTTGACGACAGTCTTATTCAAGGTATCCACTCGTCCAAAAGTGGCTCCAGAAGCGGCTGCCATGGCACCTGTTGCTACGGCAGAGCCAACTGTTTCTCCAACGTGACGTACAACCGTCTTGGAAGCGGCATTTCCCGTAAACTTGGCGCATTCGACCGCAGCATTATTCAGAGCATCAACCTGACCAAACGTAACTCCAGCGGCAACTGAAGTGGCAGCGGTGGCGATTGCTCCTCCGACTGTACTCACTTCGTTTCCCATCTCTCTTTATATATGAATCTTTATTTTATATCTAAAGACCAACAGAATATAATATAGTTTATATTATATTGCTGTTACAAAATCGAAGACAACGAAAAAGCGTGGGAGGAGAGGGTGAGGTAAGGGACGGTTGAGTTACTTCTTTGAAGATTAAGAAAACGGGATAAGCTATGGCAATAAATACAGATCAGCCTCAGAGAACTAACATCCTTTATGCTCTCTTTCTACAGGATGGCAATCAAACTCAATTTTGTTTGGTTAATTACCATCAAATGCGAATTTGGGCCGAAACTTCAATCGATTGCAATGTTCAACTGTCTGCTCCACTAATGAAAAAATTTCGTTCGCCCTTAAAAGTTTGTTTGTTTTTGCTTTTTCTAGCTCCTAAGTCTAAAAGCTGTTGCGTTTGCGTGACTGTTGTCATAGCGTGATATTGGAGGAAACGGATTCTGTTTGGTTTGGATTTGACTTTTTCGTTTTTTTTTTGTTTTTCTTTTCTAACCAACAAAATTCAAGGATTTCCTATTTTTTTTTTACAAACATTTAACAAATGTCAACAAAGAACTGATTAGCATACACAAGCACAAGATTTCGATCAATGGAGACACTTTCCTGTGAATGTAATTATCTGTAATAGTCGTGTTGTCCTAGCCTTTTTGATCGGTCAAACCATTAAAATCCCCCCCCCCCCCCACGTCTCTATTTTAAATGGGGACAGAGAGCACTAAATCACTAGCATTGTTGATAATTGGGGTAATTTTTAACGTAATGTCTATTCACAAATTCCGTCAAGCGTCACCGCGATTTGACGAATTACCATTAACGACTGTTTTAACTAACTACTTGAGAACAAAAGTTGCTATTTACAACGAAAAGTTTCTACATATTCTACCCAACACTTCGGTATGCTCGACTTTCCCTCGATCGTCGCACAAGCACTCTGCTGTCTTTTGAGTGAACTATTCGGGTGCATATGAAACGGCGGAAAACTGAATTTGGCTGTCATTTCGACTCATTACCTCTCCGAAATCATCACAAACAACACGCATCGATCGCGGATTCCGTTAAAATTATATTACTAGGTCTTACATCCTTTCTTACTTACCATAATTTCGCAACTTGTTATTGTTATTATTTAAATTTTGTAGACACTCTTTAGTTTTGTAGGTCCACATCAGCAATTTAATTTAGTTAAAATGGCGATGACAAATTTTAGCATAGGGACATTTGCGTTTACAGAAGCGTTGAATTTAGGCGAGATAATTTGTGTTTTGAAATAAATTTTCGTCAAGCTAACACCCACCTTTTTTGTGTATTCCAGCTGTGTCGTCTGCCTCGAAAAGAATTTTCCCACTATGGAAAACAACACTGGAAAGCTACGATACAGAAAGTCGATAACGTTGAAACCGAGGCCGACTTGGTAATGAAATGAGCACTTCTTCCGATATTTACAGGAACCTTCGGGATTTTGCCGATGACATCCACGAGCTTTTGCCCTAAAATTTCATTTTTAACTATTTGATTCTGTCAAAGTATTCTATTGATTGTCATATCACGGAGAAGTCACAAAGTTTTTCCCAAAATGAATGGCTCAAAGCTCCCGGCTCTGTTTGTTTTGATGCGGTATCACGTAAGACATCTGAACGCGAGGAAACTGGAGACTAGTAAGATATCTCCCATAGTCCGTGATCTTGTGTTTTCTTTCGTTTCCCCCAAGAAGATTCCCTTAGATATTCTTACCTCCAGCAATGTTCAGTTATAATTTTCACCTAAATACATAGAGAAGTAGCTTAATGGTGCGATTGAAAGAAAGTATTTTCCTAAAGTATTTCACAAACCCTAGCCACCTTGAATAAATTTACAACTAACGCAAGATTTGATTGGTCAAACCAATCAATTCCGTGGATCCTTTTTCTAAACGGCCAATCATAAACTAGATTCTATTTTTCCCATGGTTCATAGGAGAGGAACGAAGCACACGAGACTTCGCTGTCTACAGAGAGATATTTCGTTGTAGTTGCAGTTATTCTACCTTTTTTTGACTGAAGCTGAATTTGATTTCGCTTGAGAACAGAGGACATTGGTCGGAAGGAAAATGACGGCCTTTCTTCCGCCGAATCTTCTAGCCTTATTCGCTCCACGCGATCCAATCCCATATTTAACGCCTTTGGATAAACCTGCTTGGTTGAAACGACCATGGCCGTACTCGGGCATTGCTAAGTTCGTCAGAGAATTCGAGGTGAGAAAATTGTGGCAAACATTCTGTTTTGTACATTATTGAGATATCGGAAATGATTAATATTATCTGAATGTTTCTATAACGTCATTTTTTAAAGCCAAAACAAAGTAAAGCTTCTGAGTTGATGTTGATCGATGAAATGTGAGTTGGGGAACTTTTTGCTGAAGTTGATTATTCCATAGCATCTACCGCAGCTGTTTACTCATTCCAACTCATAGCTAAATCTTTGGCTATATTTGCTTTTAAAATCGCTGTGTTAAGTACTGCAGTTCTTGTGAAAGAAACCCCGTCACGAAGATCAGGATTTATTTGTTTGGCGTCATTTTTGCCAGCCCAAACAATGCTCAAAGGAACTTGAGATATCTTAAAGAAATGCTAAGGTTTATTAAGGGGAAGTTATGATTACCAGTAGCAGCTTTAAATGTTCTTTCACTTCCCAACTGAATCACAACTTTTGGACTCGTTACTACATGCAAAAGTGAGAAGCATTATTTAAAGAAAGTAGGAAATGAATGGAACAACAATAATTATAGTTTCATAAAACTAGGATTAGATTTGTTATGAGCAAATTTCCAGGTCTACCCTAACCCTTTGTCCCCTTAGAGTGATTGGCATCTAATTTCTCCTAACAATATCACCCCTGAATCACACATTAAGGTCATGAGAATAAAGGAAATGATCTCTAACTTAAGAGGCTCTTGATCGTCAAACAAATTCTCCTTGTCAGCACCTTAGGGATGTATAAAAAGCAGTATAGAGAACATTTACATATATCATCTTGCAACATCTATAGCAGACATATTCGCAAGCTCTGAGTATATGCATACTGATGTGGGGATGTAAAGGATAAATGTTATGTCTCGTTTGTTTACTCTTTGCGTTTCATGGCATTTTAAGCTCTCTTTTCTCATGGTGTGCTAGACTTTTGTCCCTTCCTAGTTTACTTATTTGCCATAGTATACACTGTAGTATACTCAGACTACCTGAACTAGAAGAGAAATTTCTTATCAAAAACATAATGTTAATTGTGCAGTGCATTGCACCCTACTCCACTCACAACAGTCTAACATTGTGGTCAGGTGGTCAGTAATTGAGCTGAGAATTTGATTGATGGTAACCAAGATATAGAGGCTAATGGTAGAAGGCAGCTAGTGCAATGACTAGAGAAATGAATGAATAATTGGTGGTAAACTGTGTCTTTTAAAACTAGAACTTCACAAAGCCTATCGTAAGATTTTGTGAAGTGACCCTTAGCTGATATTTTATTTAATATCACTTGTTCACAGGATCCAAAAGAAACTCCCCCTCCAACACGTGGAGAAACAAGAGATGAAAAAACAGAACGCAAGGTACATATAAAGTATCTTTATGAAAACATTTTTCATGTACTGCAGAGAAATGTGGAGCAAGAGTTAATTCACATTGAGAATGGTTAGGTAATCCTTTTTAGGGAGGAATTGATTGATGAAGAATTCCAGAAATCAATACAAATGAATTGTATTGAGTTGCATCCTTTTCAATGCCAGATTATTGAACTTTAGGGTAAAGGCTCTTTTCAGCTTTGTTAAGTTAGATGCTAAATGTCTTCTGATATAATTAAAATTTATTTTTAGAGAAAAGAAAAAATAGAACGTACTACAAAGTTTCAAGAAGAGCAGATGGAGCAATGTAAGTAGCTTTACAAAATGCAGTCTAAAATATTTTTTTTTTGTTAAGATTGTTTTTGTTGTTGTGGCATCTGTCTGATTATTTGTGATTTCATGATTCCCAATGCTAGAGTAATTTCTCTGATGTAAGAGAAATCTCTTACATCGGATTACATTGCAATTTAAGTGTTTGCAGGGTTGGGTGTGCTCATGGGAGCTCAGCTAGGAAAGGTTGCTGATTCATCTACAGGATTTTTGCAGATACTTGGATTGTGAAGTCAAGAACTGCCTGTGGAGATCAGTAGATCCTCTGTACTACTTGCATGTTCCTGCTTAAAACTTTTGAGAAGGGCTATATGGTTACATTCCTGAGTTTGAATTTCATTCCTTTACAGCACTTTGTTTCCTTTTTATCTAGGGGATCCTCATAATGATGCAAATGCTGTTGGAACTGATGCATTCAGGACACTTTTTGTTGGAAGAATTGTAAGTATTGTGTCTAGCAGTTTTATCTCAATATATTAGATTTAAACATGGAGGGAGAAAATTATGTAAGCATACCAAACTTGCAGACTGGCCTCTAAAAATGACACTTTGTGTAACATGACTGAAGATGATACACTTGGCTAGTTTTTTAAAGGAGGATGGTTGTCAATGTTTCATTTATTGGAATCATTTTGGAGGTTCACATAACATCTCAGAGCTTAAATCTTCTGACAAATATGCTGAAAAAGGGAAGAATTACCTGCTTAAATGACTTTTCAAATAAATTTTTATTGGTCTTTAACTTCAGACCATAGACACTAAATACATTTGGTGGCTCAGAGGGATATCAAACCAACATTTTCATTTGAATTTTGTCCTACTGTAGAACTTTGACACCTCTGAATCTAAACTGAGACGAGAGATGGAGCTGTATGGGCCGATCAAAAGAGTGAGTGATTTACTTTTGATGAATTATGTTGCTTTGCAGTACATTTAATTATTTATTTGTATGCAGCAGTATTAAAAGATGCTGTTGTCTCAATAATATGGGATGGAAACATTGGTGTAAACAAACCAATGGCAAATCTTAAAGTAGCTTGTGTCAATTTTTTTAATACCCATCAGAAGATATCATTCTAAAGCACTTGTTCACAGCTTATTCTTTCCAATATCCTGAGTGTTTTCTTTTTTTTCATGATTAACACTTGATATATTGCTTGTTATTTTGGCAAGGAAATTCTATAATACAGTTTTATAGTAATGAAAGGCAATATTATTATGTACTGAAAGGTCCTTGTAGCTCTCTCAAGGTGAACTTAAATGGCATTTATCTGACTATGATAAGTGCACAAAATTTGCAATTTTCTTGAATTCTTAGTTTTAGGCACAAATCCCTGATTTTCCTTTAAAAGTGTAACTGATTCAACCATTTTATTCCCTTGAGTGACCAAGACATAATTTTTCCTTCCAATATCAATTGGACATCAAGCTTAATTTCCCTAGACAACAGTTTCATGCAGACTTCTTAATGGCAGAGATATCATTTAGATGACATTTGGAGCACATTTCTTATTTAAAGTTTCAAAGAATTATTAAATGTGTGGCTCTCTACTCTATTGTAGATCATTTACCTCTGCAGTTGATAAGTCTGAAGTCATTCATGCTAGTCCAATTCAGATATTTTATTACTCTATTCATTTGTAGATTCACTTGGTGCACAATACAACAAATGACAAGCCTCGAGGTTATGCCTTTATTGAGTATGAACATGAACGAGACATGCACGGTGAGTATCGCACAATTTTTTGTCAATGTAGACCTTCAATATTACCACTTATATCTGTTCTACTTTACTTCAATATACATGTATGTTGTAATTTGAAAAGAATTTAAGTCAAAGTGACATAAACCTAGATTAATTTTTACTTTTCTAGAAAAAACACAAATCAACTAGTTTAAAAAAAACATTTTGAACTGAATTCTATTTCAACCTACAACATGTACATGGTTTTCAATAATTCACTATTTTTCCTAAAATTTCCTTGATGTGCTTTGAAAGCAAGGTTGAGGGAATTGAATATGTTTAAACTTGTAATTTTTTTCATCTAGAGACTCCAACATGTGTATTTTGTGGTTTGAATTTTTCAATCAAGTTGATTTCAACTCCTTTGTTTCCTTTTCATTATCATGGCCCCATAAGACTTTGAAAACCACAAAATGCAAATGTATTACCATTTGATAGTTACCAAGTTCATAATTTTATTATTAAGATTAAAGGTAGCATGTATTCTTACTCCCGTAAGTATGATAGCGAAGGTTACTGCAAGCAGCTGTGAGACAGGTACAAACAAGGCTTATGGGTAATGGTGTTCAGTAGTTTAACTTATACATATTCTTTCATGTACATAATTATAGGCATTTACTATAAAACTACACATGACATGGTAAAGGGTTGATCTGTGCAATTCAGAATTTATTTTTGACAAACACACTTCAAGTGGTCTTGTTTACTAGTAATGCTAAATTTACCAGTATTGCAAAACCAAAGGTTGTATTTCTTGCGCTTTGGAATAAACACTGGTGGAAAAAGAATCTGTGAAAAATTGGTAAAAAAGGAAATGAAGATAAAGAGAATGCTTCTAGAAAAGCTTTGATCAAGCTGCCTTTGAAACATCAACAGACTAGTCTCTTTTTAAGACTGGTCAATGTTTTTCACTTTTGTGATTCTTCAAAGTCAACAAATTAAGCTTGTTTTTAGTAGATTTGGACCCAATTTTAGCTTAAGAGGAAGGGAAGGAACATTTGTTTGAATTCTTTACTAAGTTTCCCTATTTTGATCGAATCTTGCAGTGAATACTGTATCACTCACCATCACATGAAACTGAGAGTTATCTTTGATGGGCCAGTACTTGGTTTACTTTTCCAATTACTCTTG